TGTCGAGATACCGGGTAACTTGTCTGTCATGCAGACCCTGAAACAAATATATCCAATAAAGCCCATGCAAGTTATATTAGTGGGCAAGTCTAGATTACTTCATTTTCTCAATATATGGAGTCTCTTGGCTCCTTTTCACTATATTTTTATTATAATAATTTAACAACTGTTCTTTGTCTGTAGTGAGTGAGTATGGTTTTACGCCGCTTTTAGCAATATTCCAGCAATATCACGGCGGGGGACACCAGAAATGGGCTTCATCTTTGTCTGTAAGATTTGTTCATTTCAGAGACTAGATGTTAGTCCACCAAGTAACCTACGGAGACATAATGAATCAGGTGGTTGGTTCATACCGTGTCATCGTAATCGTTGCTAATATTATCACTCACTGGATTGCCTGGTTCAGACTCGATTATTTACAAGCAGCCGTTGTATAGCTTGAATATTGCTGAGTGCGGCGTAAAACAACAAGCAAATTATACAACGGAAAATCTTGTATCATGAACATCGAGCGTTCAAGTTCATTTAGCTTGACATCATGTCACAACAGATGGTTTTAACATGTTTTAAAGTTATTGTCTGGTTTGATAAAAAGATGCTTGTGTAAGATACCTCTCTGACATTTCTAGAAAACCTGTTTCCAAACTATCCCGGTGTGTACATGTGTATAGTGAACATAATTCTACGCAAACATCCCTCTGCTGTTGTGCAATAGATTATTTCCAATGAATCAAAGAATAATGGACCTTTTCCACTGTAATTGAACTCATGCTCTTTCCAATCAGAAACATAAGGATGAATAAGGACACTGCAGTTAGACTGTATTACTTCTGAAACTGATGAAGGCCAATTGTTTAGGATGGCAGTCTCCAGAGTCTGTGACGATGAGAGTGGGCTTTACCAGTCACGACTTTACAGCACGCTGACAATGTTTTGTATAATATTGAAAATTGTCTACGTCTCGTGAAGAAAAAAGTTGTTAAATTGCAGATACAACGTAAAACATGATACGCTCACGCTTGCACACCTATAGGGGAAACAGGTGGCCCATTGTGAAGAGTTGCGTACCTAAGCCGTGCTGGGATCCGCTGATCATGGGTCTGAACCTCATGTTCTCCCGGATTATGACCAGTGCTCACGGTCTAACTGATTTGATAGATGTTTACTGACCACAGCATTATATGACCGAATTGCTGTGCAAAGCTGCGTTAATACCAACTCACTTAACCACTTACTCAATAGTTCAGCACTCGATGAGAAAGAATCAGATGGATACACAATGTCTTGTCATATTTTGGTTGGGAAACCCGTATATTACAATTCTAGTAAAATGGGCTTTTGATAGTTCATCTACCATCGGCTACCTTCAAACAACAACCACCAACGTATCCCCTTTCGATCAAGCCCTGATTCCCCCCCGATTGATTTTAAATGGGGATTGGGGGAAAATAAAGCACATGCCCCCCGAAAGAGGGACTTGGAATCAGCTGAACAAGCAACACATGACTCCGCTGTATGTTTTGGAGGATGAAGATGTGGACAGAGGCGAGGAACCGTCAACAGTGGACTTTGGAGGTATCTTTGCCATTTCGGGCTGTTTGCTAAACGCTGGCTGAAGGCAGGAATGTAATACCCTCAGGATATCAACGGCAAATTACATTAGCATTATCAGGAGAATAGGGGACACATATACATCAAATAGTTTGTTTGCCAGACATATATCAATTAAAGTGATTATATTAGCATTAGAAACTTCATCATTTGGAAGCGGTTTGGTCATTAAGGTAATGAGAGTTCAATTTGTTTATTACCTTCTTGGTTTGGGGCGGTTATGTAGCTGGTCCCCGGGAACTATCGGGCCGGAATTTAGATGTTGACTATCAAAATGTATATTCACGAACATCATATATGGGGTTTCTTGTCTGCAGGACCTGTCTGGGTCGTTGTCAATGTGGGGCACCGTGTTAGAGATTACTTTTTCTCTGGGGATCTTTTGGGAATGAAAATGCTGCTGCTGCTGCTGTTGCTACTACTACTACTACTACCACTACTACTACTACTACTACTACTACTACTACTATCACTTCTAACAATACTGATGATAATAATGACGTTACTACTATTACTACTACTATTGCCGCTGCTGCTGTCGCAAACCACTACCACCACTTGTAATAATAATAATAATTGTGATGAAGTTGTGATGATAATGATGATGATTGAGATATAAGTAATAATAATAATAATCATAATAACGCGATCATTTAAACACACAAAAATAATAATAGACAATTGTAACAAACTGTATTGTCGGAATCAGCTTGTCATCCACGTATTTTCCAAACGTTTTAATTAACTATTTACACATGTCTGCTGCTTTTAAGATCCCGACCGTGCCATCAGAGACTCCATCGCCGGTAATATGTTTATAACAATGGTGACGATGAAAGCACTGGACGTGCATATACACTCCATGATGAATACAGCATGATATCTGCTCAGTAAGACTTGTATGGCTGACTACGTGTAGGGCAGTAATATCATCAGTTTTATGTAAAGGGGGGAGTAGGTAGGATTCAAGACTTGCACACGTCTCTAGGGCATTAATTATTAGTTTAAATCATAATTTCTAGATTATAGAAATAATAAGAACAAATTGTCCCTGCACACGCATGGACTTATCCTTCAGTACAGCCTTGGAGCAAGGCTAGCAGGATCCTCACATAAAACGATAAGAAATTCACGTTACTTTGTAAATAATTCAGGAAACCTTGAACTTTGGGAAAATAAACACTGATAGGTCGATGTTGTTACTACTTTGAGGATAGCTCATTACTAGGTTAATTAGCAGTTTCATGTACTCAAATAATCTGTTTTTGCAGATACATGTATCTTAACACACACAATTAGTGTAATTCGAAGATTAGGTATCTACGCTGCGGCCTGATTTTACATTGAGAGTGAAACTATCAAGGCTATTTCTGTTTCCCGATTCTAAACGCGTTTTTCTGAAGCTGTGTGAGTGTAAGCAAAGGGCAGCGTGTGCCTGTGTGAGGAACTCAGTATAAATAGGCCAAACGGTGAGGCAATACACAGTTTACAACTCACGGGACTTGGTACAAAGATACTTATTGTACATCGGAGTTCTTTATCCTACACTCACAGCTGGAGGTGTAATGATGAGAAAGACATCCTAACTACCGTGTTGAAGACAAGCATCCTCCAGGCTATATCCCCCTGTCACATGACAATGTCGTACCTTGGTGTACTTACTATGTGGGGCAAAGGGACATGAACAGGTCCTGTTTCTAAAGCACATGCGAGGTCGAATCTCTCACTGTCACGATGGCGAATGTTTTTTAATGATCTATCTCAACTGGCGTGTGTTAGGCAAGGACATGCCTATATTTTCGCGAACACCTGGTGTATCACCGATTCTCAGTGATCCATTCATATACTTTTCACTACTATTTTGTCTCTTACGCCCAATGGAATTTGTTTCGTCGTATAATCGAGACTGGGTATTCTCTGGCGCTGACCTTCTGTATTTAATGTAGATTATGGTAGATTTTCTCGAAATGTTTTATGTTGAATTCCAATTATTGTTGAATCGCTCCAAGAGTTTGCTTTTTAAAATGTTGATCATGATCTAATCTCTCCATGAATTATCGTTCTTCTAATGTTGATTATTATTGAATCTCTCCATGAATTATCGTTCGTCTAATGTTGATTATGATCGATTCTCTCCATGAATTGTCGTTTGTTTCTTGTTGATTATGACCGATTCTCTCCTCGGCGAATGTTTAATTCTAATTATCGCTGAATCTCGCTATGAATTGGAGAATGCTTAAATCTGATTATGATCGAATGGTTATTGAACAGCTATTTAAAAAACCATAGAGGGTCAGATACGGCTTCGTAATCCACTTCTGATATTTTTTTAATGTGTCATTGATCCAGTGGAACTAGTACAGACAGAACTGTTTGATGATGGTTGGGAGCTTCAAGTGTGAGAATCTTTATGACACTGATCTATGTCAATACCGGAAGGAACGACCTGTTATCTGGAAACAACCCTTTCAATCGCTACCATCCATGTCCATGACATGCACACCAAAAACTAAGAATATCAATGTAACAATTTGATAATAGCTATCCGTAGAAAAACAGATATCGTTCTAACGGGAAATCAGCATCCCTTCCCTGTACAAGGTCCCAGATCCATTACATCATGTGGACAAAACAACCACCTGATACTATATGTCCAACCACCAACTCTGCCAGCTGGTGTAGTGTTTGTAGAACCCCACACGTCTATGAGCCACACTACCATTCATCCATATCCATCATGTGTCGCTTCCAGCAGGGCTGAAGAACCAGGAAGTGATATATGCAACAGGAAATGCTAGTATATTTCATGTGTTCCGTGCCTGGAACTGACATCTCATTGGGAGGCTACTGCAGCTGGTACAGTTCCACCTGATGGTACAGGGTGATGACCTACTGCCAGACGCAAGGTACATCCGCATAGGTCAATATGTTTGCACGACCATCTGTCACATCAACACTATCTTTTCTCCCCTGTTCAAATGAGATTATGCGATCTCCCAGTTCGATAACGAACACAGCTAGAAGTAGGTCTCTGTGTCTAAAGCTTATCGGCGCGTTCAAATTGAAAACGATTAGCCTACCGTTTTAATTAGATTTAGATTAATTAGCTAAAACGGTATATCGTTAACATGAAACAGTTAAATCCAGAATACGTGCTCATGCAATAATGTTTAAATTGAAAACGTTTAAACTCTTTAACATTTAATTAGCTAAAGCGTTGATGTGTACGAGAAACAATTAAAATATATAATAATGTCCTACCATCACATTTCGACATATGCACCTTAATTATTCCAAACGAAATAACGACTTGTTTATTGAGTAATTGAGATTTGTCTGTTTGAATCTCTGTCAAGTATGAAGTGCATTCATGTGGGTAGTCTACTCACCAGCCTGTCCCCCAGGCCGAGATCGGCGTTGGTCCTTCCTGCTCGTGTTGTTTCCCATGTTAACAGTCGGGGTACCCGCAAATACTACCTCCTTGTATTACACTTGCTCACAACAGGGATTCCTCTTATCGGCATGGATAGTAAATGTCCTTTCATGAATCGGCACACAACATTCATACAGCTATGGTCTCACTGCCTATATATTTAGTCCTAGTGACGTGTACAGTTTTACAACCTGAGCTATAGCCCAGGCAGTTACGACCTAGACCATGTAACCAGAGCTAGCGGAGACGACGATATCGGGGATTCCTACTGCAGAGGGAAGCCCACAGTCTGGAGCGAACACTCACACGTGGACCTGTAACTGACAGATCAACGCGTGCATACGTAATTCACCAACCAATCAGCATCTTCAACATCACAGAAGGCTTTTGTTTGGCTGCATTGATTTAATCGTACGTACAGCTCCGCATCGTTTAGGTGGCAGGCCCTTCCGATGTGTAGGTGGGGAAGGCTGTAGATCCATGTCTGGCTGCTGGGCCAAAGCTTGCCAGAATTCCACTGCTGTGCCTACAGTGGTGTATGGGATATAATGTTCACCGTGGGAACTAATAATATACATAAATATTTTACTACGAGTTTTTCCTAGATTACAATTTCTTCAGTGCGGTTGGCATGAAGTACATCTTTCTGAAACACTCTTACGTGATTGTATCTGCAAACGATATCGACCGTACACACAAATACCAGTTTATTTAATTTTTATTTAAATTCTATTCGATTTGTGTCATGTCTGTATTCAAATGCAGTTATGAGGAATACGACATAGATTTAACTAGTCGCGTCATGGTATCAATTGCGTGTTAGTGCATCTGGAATATTTTGAGACCAATCTCGTAATTCAACCCGATTATTTACAGACCGCCGCCATATAGCTGGACTATTATTGAGTGAGGCGTTAAACAACAAACGATTTGAAACGAACAAACAAAAACATCAATTTATGAATCATGTGTTGCAGTGATGTTAATATATGTGTGTGTTTATCTATGTTTATATAGTAGTGACCGCCTCCGTGGTCTAGTGGTAGAGCGTCCGTCCGGAGAGCGGAAGGTCCGGGGTTCGATCCCCGGCCGCGCCATACCAAAAGATGTTAAAAAATGGTACAATGTTGTGACCCTGTCTGGCGCTCGGCATTAAGGAGCTAAAACAAGGACTGGTCGGCTCGGAGTCAGTATACTGTGTCTGAGTGGGGTATTCATGTTAAACTGCGGCATGGTATCTCAGTGTGCTAGCACTATAAATCGGCATCAGTCCGGACTAGTACAAGCAGCCACACTGACAACACACACACACACACACACACACACACACACACACACACACGTGCATGCATGTCGCTATATGAGTCGTTCATCTTTGACATGACATTCAATCCCATTTCACCTCGCCTCACCTTATTGGTATTATATATATTAGCTGTTTATATAACAGCGTCCCCCTTTAGATTTCATCTAGCCTTCTACCGCTGACGTCGAGGAGGCAGGCGAGGGAATTGCGTCGAGAACTCAACGCTGGGATTACACTGAGCGACGAACAAAAAACGACCAACGTCACAAGTCACATTGTCATATGGTCTTAGTGCTCTGTCAATGGCCAGTAGGAAAATGTCATATTCTATTTGTGGATAAAGGCTTCTCTTGCTATGTATTTTAGGAAATCGTAAAAGAGTTATTTTTTAAATTAGTGTAGGTTTAATGCAAAGAACCTATTGGTGTTTTTATCGTGAATGAGTCATCATTTAACCATGCTTCGTGTACGGCTAGTGTCCTGGCCTAACATTTTTAGATTTGTACATTGACACTAAACTACAAATTGTTATTTATACCTTTCTTAAAACCGCCTCCGTGGTTAAGTGGGAGAGCGTCCGCCCGGAGAGCGGAAGGTCCGGAGTTCGATCCCCGGCCGCGTCATACCAAAAGACGTTAAAAGATGGTACTTGTTGTTACCCCGTCTGGCGCTCGGCATTAAGGGGCTAAAACAAGGACTGGTCGGCTCGGAGTCAGTATACTGTGTATGAGTGGGGTATCCATGTTAAACTGCGGCATGATAGAGTGCTCAGTGTGCTAGCACTATAAATCGGCATCAGTCCGGACTAGTACAAGCAGCCACACACACACGTGGATGCACGCCGCTATATAAGCGCAATAATCCTGGACGCGACGTTAAACCCAATTTCACCTCACCTCACCTCACCTATACCTTTCTGAGGTAATTCGTAGCAGAAATGGAAGACTGATTAAATGTCGATTTTAAGGTTGTATTTAAAATGGATTTTTAAAACGTAACCTTATTTACACGACGGTTAGAAAACAAGATGGATTGATCTAGGATCTCATGTTCAATTGCAATTATAATGTGAAATTATTTGGGATTGTGACCAATTTAAATTATTGGTGTTTCATTACCATAAATAATTAAATAGGATACATGTTGAGTTATTGATTATTCACAACAAAACATATTGTTTGGCATGTGATAATGTTTTATCAAGCACAGAATATTTCGGCTCCAGAAGTTGATAGGTTGAATGTTGTTTGGGCACATATGCCTTTTGTCACGTTTTGAGGTTGTTTTAAATCGGTCACATTGAACAGTATACTACGTTTATAACGAACACGCTTATAACGAACTGACGGATATAACGAACTGTTTTGGCCCCGTCCATTTGATGTATATATGCCGTGTATGTGCTTATAACGAACTACGGTTATTACGAACTAAATTTAGTGGTCCCTTTAAGTTCGTTATAACCGTAGTCTACTGTATGTCAGAATGTGATCTCCACCGCCATACTTTGTTTTAGTAACCACACGGGCACTGAACATTTCATGGATATCAAATAAATACAAGTCATTTATATCCCTGGGGGAATTTAGACCACTGATCATTCATGTCAAGGTCAAGGCCATCCTCCAGATCATATCCTGAGAAACGCTGTTCACCAACTCGAAGGGGAATTGATGTAGATCCATGTAACTTGTACAAGTCAACCTTGGAGCCGGGCCTCGATCACAAAAAGAACGTTGTGGTGACCTTCGTGTAAGGTCAATGTGTCAATGTAGGACACTCGCGCGTTATGCTTGCCATTTGTATTGCGCATGGGCGGATACAGAGGGGCGCACCCCGCCCCCCCCCCCCCCCCCCCCCTTTTTATTTCGATAAAAATCTTTATTTCTGTATAAATTACCACCAAAGACAATCAATAGATCACCCCCCTTTTCCAAAAAGCTGTATCCGCCCATGTTGCGTTATCATGTAGTGGTTATCTGATTTGAATAGTTATGAACGATAGGTGATGACTATCCTATGCGATAGTAGGTCAAGGTGACCTACTTACAGTGAGCATAATAGTTGCACTAAGCAAAATTCCAGCTATATGACGGCGGTCTGTAAATAATCGAGTCTGAACCAGACAATCCAGTGATTAATATCATGAACATCGATCCACGCAATTGGGATACGATGACATGCATCAACCAATTCAGCGAGCCTGACCACCCGATCCCGTTAGTCGCCTCTTACGACAAGCATAGTCGCCTTTTACGGCAAGCATGGGTTGCTGAAGACCTATCCTACCCCGGATCTTCACGGGCCGAAATTTAATGTAATCGAATGACACAATTCATATTATTCTTAGCGAAGGGCGCAAGAAATAATCAATCATACGAATGTATGAATGAATGAAGGACATGGTTTTTAAAGCGGAACTACATGTAACTTTGTTATTTCTCAGATAGAGGAAAACAGGAAGTCATGTCATTACACCGGAAGTGCATATATTCGTTCTCATTAAGGTATAAAGAGGCATGGAATTATCTGTTTTAAAACCAAGTGGCACAAGAGGTGAAATGGGGTTTAACGTCGCGTCCAAGATTATTGCACTTATGACTTGCATGTACGTGTCTGTGTTTGTGTGGCTGCTTGTACTAGTCCGGACTGATGCCGATTTATAGTGCCAGCTCACTGAGATACCATGCCGCAGTTTAACATGAATACCCCACTCAGACACAGTATACTGACTCCGAGCCGACCAGTCCTTGTTTCAGTCCCTTAATGCCGTGCGCCAGACAGGGTTACAACATTGTACCATCTTTTAACGTCTTTTGGTATGACGCGGCCGGGGATCGAACCCCGGACCTTCCGTTCTCCGGGCGGACGCTCTACCACTAGACCCCGGAGGCGGTCCAAGTGGCACAAGACGGAAGGGTAGTTATACAAACCGGATGTCGTGATAGCAGCATTATACCGGTAGTTACAGGGGGTACAGGTTTATCACTTTAGAGAAACCCACGAGCTGGTAACCGAAGACTGTCAACTTAATCTCAACAGACACCCTTACTCACTCCAGTTACGAGATACGCGTGCTCGCTATAAATGACGTCTCTAGAGCTGTTAACACACTCGAACTGATTATTATTGCTACAATATAAAGGCGCAAAATCAATACAAACTACATTTTACCAGCTTGACAGTCTCCATGTTCTAGAAGAATGACGTGACATCAATTTTCTTGCTGACAATGCATGTCCTTGATTTCTTTCCCAACACGCCCGACGCCTATTTACATGTAAATATTGATGTACTCGCATGTCCTTCAAACTGAATTCTCCGCAATAAACCCTTCACCTTGAATTGCCGAGCGGTACCCAGAAAGTCCTGTTTAATTATGCATTGATCCAATACTTACATACACCAGACCATGAAGAATGTTGAGTAATGTAATTAGCGATTTTTGTATGTTGGAATCAATAGTGTTTTGTGGTTGAAGTTGCCATGGAGTCGATTGATATAGTGTTGAAACTAAAAGATCGTGTTTGGTGATATAGAAATGTATGTAGGTGTTGCATTAAGTGACACGTGAAACGCGGGTGTCTTTTGTCATCGTTGTACGGAGTAAAGGAGAGCGTGGATGTAGTGGGAAGCATGCCACGCTGCTGACTTCCTCGTGCACCATAATGGAACCATAAACAGACATATACACAAACAGGAGGGATTGACTGTTTATGTTCAAGGTGCGTGGGAGAGTTTTCGAGACGACTTAATTCATTGTGGGAGAGAGTGTTTGTATGAGATCGGTGGTCATGTTAGAGTGAGTGGGTATGGTTTTACGCCGCTTTTAGCAATATTCCAGCAATATCACGGCGGGGGACACGAGAAATGGGCTTCACACATTGTACCCATGTTGGGAATCGAACCCGGGTTTTTGGCGTGACGAGCGAACGCTTTAACTACTAGGCTACCCCACCGCCCCAGTTGATCATGTTAGTGTGTGTGTGTGTGACTGAGTTAGTGAGTT